CACATCAATATAACGTCGGTAGATTATTGTAAGAAACAATTAAAAGATATCTAGGTACTTAATGAACTCAAACTGAGACAAACATTATGTGAGTTAGTTGTGGACAAAACTGTCCTTATTTAAAAAAAGAAGTATTTTTTCCTTTTATTTTTAAAAATATTTGGCAAGTAGGAAATTTTTTAGATGTCTGTAATTAACCTATATGTACCTTTTAATAATCTTTCACGGGAAGTGAGTATTTCGTATTGTATCGATTCTGAAAATAATATTTCACTTCTTGAGTTAATACACTATTGTATTAACAATACAATATCACAAAGGCGCCCTTCTTAGAGCGGTTACACACTCGCGCGATTTTAAGCAACGATGCAAACACGCGATTGCATCGCTACATTTGGGATTTATAGGCGATTGCATCGATGCAAACCCGCGACTACATCGACAAAATCGCAAAAGTAACGTTTCACGGACGCGCGTTTGCATCGCTGCTAAAAGTGTACTATGTACTCGCTATTAAACCGAAAAATTCTTATTTTCTATTCTTTCTTTACTATTCATTCTATATTTCTTATTATATTAAAAATTCTTAATTAAAATATCAATTACGACGCTACTCAAACGCTCTACTGCCTTCTGATTGGTGAAATTAGCCTAAAGGTCTTGCGGCACTTGGCCAATCACGAACACTTCTATCTCTTTGATTTGTTGTTTTGTAGCTGTAAAACCTCGTTGCTACTACCGGAACGTAGGTTCCGGTTTTGAAGGGTAAGGGCGCTGGTGAATTTTCAGGCATATGGGATTTGTCTACTTATATCTCACGGTGACGTGGGCAGCGGCAGTGCCCCTCAGATCTATTTAAAGCTCTGGGGGCCTACTATGAGCTCTTAGAGCAATGCTATATAAGCCTGTAAGTTGGATTGCCGGTCAAATTCGTACTATAACCTCACAAAAACAATTCACTGTCTATGCAGTTTACGTTCCCCTTTCGAAATCCGTTCACCTTTTCTTATATAGCAAAATCGTATCATGACGTGCCATTTGCCATGCCAATGGCGATCTCATCTGTAAAAATACCACCTGGCGCACGACTTGTTCGTCTCGTCACTTGATATTATAAAAAGAAATCTATTATAAACCTATATTTATATTGTAAACCTATATTTTCATAACACTCTGTGAAAGAAGTATACAGTATTGTCAAGTTTATCTTTACGTACGTTCATTCGTACATAATATCATCAAAAGACACATTACGAAATTATTAAGTATTCTCAAATTTCTATCGTCTTATCTTTTATTTATACTTGTACGATAGACCGGGAAAATTTGTTACCACCTCTCGTAAAGTCGATTTCTCGGAACCGTTGACCATCAGCGAACACATTTACCGCTTTATCAGCGCTCCATTTGACGCAATTTACTCAAGCGTGTGAATTCAGACTAACCGAAAAATTTGCCAATAATAAGCTTTTGACCTATAGTTAGTGCTATTGTGACATAAATTCTAATATTCAAACTTTTCAAGTTTAGGACGTTGGAAACAATTTGTAGTTGTATAATTTTGTAGTTGTGTAATTTTGAAAAAGATATGTTAGTAAAAGGAAAGGAAAGACTGGAGTTGTAACAATTTGTAACCATTAGAATTCTCCTTGGTCTCCCCTGCAATTACAAGCACAAAATCTTCTAAGACTTACACAAGTTGCGAAGAATTCCTTTGTAAAGCATTTTTCGTAAAACAAGTTTTGTTCAAGTTAAACAACGATCCTTGTCAAGAACAGTACAATAAAGGCAATTCTTTATCGCGAGCATTCACCTGTAATGTAATCGGATATTCGATCGTAAAACACTGTTAAGAACTTTGAAACAAGCGAACCATTTATTGGGGCGTTTTGTGAGCGTACGATGCTAGTAGAGCTTGCAAAACCGGTCCGGTTTCTAATTTTTTTTTTCTTAATAAGTGCGTATTTGATGAGATCGACGATGTACCATGTACACCTGTAAATAATGCCCATTATTCACTGCCTCGGTTGCCTAACGGTTACCATGCCGGACTGCCACGCAGAGGTCCCAAGTTCGATTCCCGGGCCGGGAGAAATATTTGTATGGCCTACATTAATTCTCTCGTGAGTTTGGGTGTAACTTGTGGTTGTCTATGTGTGTGTCCAAGGCACCCACGACACAGGGTTTCCCTAGTGCAGGGCTACGTTGAGTGTGTGCGTTATTATTATTATTATTGAAAGGGAAAGGCGGAATTAAATCATGCAATTCCTGAATATCCTGTAGTGTAGAGTACCGAGCCACCTGTAAGGCTCTAGGCACACTTTCAACTGAATCCAAGGTCAGTTTGTATTTAGCAAAATCATCCCATAGGTGGCAGCGGTACTCCATACATGATCCGACTTGAACTTGATACAGCTGAAGTAACTATTCTGGTGTGAAACTGAAGCAACTCACCCAAAGCACTAGCCTGAGAAAGTTCCTATGTGGGCTTGCTTGCACAGGCTGTAGTGCCCTTCCCGCATAACCAAGAGGTTGATATGGAGGGTCACTATAAACAAAACTTGTGTAGAAAGACATGGGGCTGTCCCGGTGTGATGTAACGCATCACCTTGAAAAGAATGCGAAGCTTCCTAGCTGCAACTTTGGCCATAAATTCAATGTATCTGCCGAAGTTCAAATTGGACGACAGGTCTATTGCTAGTAGTTGCAAACTGTCGGCTATCGAAATGTTTTTATTCCCGGTACGGCTCAACTCGGCACAGATACTCCCGGTATTCTCAGTACTTCCTAAATCATTTCGAAGCACATTCGATGCCCTGACCACCTAACAGGTTTATACCTAAATATTTGTAAATCTAGTTTTGTTCATATATAATGACATTATTACAACATGTTTATAGCTTGCTTGCATATTTTGCCTTTCTATTGAATCGATTCGCTTGATAATGGCATTGAAATTTATCGATAGAATAACTGTTGATCGTGCTTGGGTGCACTTAAGTCCATTTTCATAACAATCGAATCATAATGTGGGGTGCACATTATGATTCGATAGCAGTAAATGAGAATCCACAGTAGGTATTGCAAGGTGCATACTGTGTGACGTTACCTCTTTTTCGTCTGAAAAAAAATTTTTTACATCGAAATTGGTATAGAATTACATCAAACCCCATATTCGCCGTTTTTGCCCACGATTTTAGACAAAAATAGGTTAGAATCTTTATGTAACAACCCGGTTAAAACCCAAACGAGTTAATTGGGTTTTAAAATACTGCCCATCTCTGTTCACAACTGGTTAATGGAACAAATAAAGCAATTTTTACGTTCACCACGAAGCCGTAATCTTCATATTGGTACTTATTTTGTTTATTATTTGTAGCTTCATATAATTCGAGACTTGCAATCCAACTCAATTGGTAAACGATCATAAAACATTAATCGAACGATGCGTGGAACGTTATCTGCTCGCTCGTGTGGACACTCGATTATTACTCGCAACTGAGTAAGTTTCTTGCTATAACCGGAGTACCGGGAATCTATAAACGTGATACCGGGACTGGCTGCACGTCGCCAGTACCGGGATTTCCCGGGTATTTCCGGAATCGGCAAGCGGTGTAATGAATGAAGCAATCGATAGGGAAGGATAGGATACGACTAATGTTGTCTATTTATTCACATGACTTTTATCATCAAAAATTCGAACATTACGTATAAAACACGCTTTCAAAAATAGTTAATCTCAATGTAATTGATTGTTACTGTATGGTTATTATATACGTGTAAGTTCTTCGTTTAACATTCGCGCGGTTTGCAACGTCAAATACATCATTCACAAAGGAGCCTCCTATAGGAGGGCGCGTAAACACTAGAAGCCATTATTTCGACGCGCGCTCCACCTCAACAAGTCAGAAATGCCTGGTGTTCTCTAAAAAAATTTCATGAGACCGCCAAACCTGGTGCTAAACATACATATTTTGAATTTGTTCATAACCCAAAACCGCGCCCCGCGAACTATCCTCACATCTTGACGTCACGCGGTGCCGGCTAGCTAGCCGCTGTGATCCAGCAGCTTCTGTATTCGGTAACCAAATCAAGGTACGTGGTTTTGTTTTTGGCTCAGTGTTTGGTATTGACGGTGCAAACCTGTAGGTAGGAACGGTTCTCATCTCCCAAAAGGAATCGCGAGACGGCTCCTTGTGGAGCTACATCTATCCTGATCCTTTCCATTTTGTTAACTTCATTCCCATACACTTATTACTGTACGTAATCTAAGTAAAAAAAACGTGATCACAGGACCTATAAAGAACCCGAAACAATGTTACGATGATGATGATATGCCAGACAACTACACCAATTGCATGGTCCTCAAACTAGAGTACAGGACCCTGTACTATAAGTATCCGAGCAACGGAATTGAACAGAACACCCAGACCAGAACCAATTTAGAAAGTTCTTTTCCCCAATTTTGTCCTACCGGGAATCGAACCCGCGACCTCATCATCCAGCGCCCATAGTATATACCGTTGGGCCACGGAGGTCGTCGTCGTCGAAACGTTACTTTGTTTGGGAAAAAATAAAAAACACATACACCTACACTATTTAGATACAAAAAAAATCATTATAAGATAACAACGGAAACCACACCGCGTGCAAAACTAAGCGAAGTTTGCTTAAGAGGGAGTATGCCAAAAAAGTTTTGACGTTGGCTCCGCCCAAATTTGTGAAACAAATATATGCCTGAAGTTCGCGTGACATGCGACAGGAGATGTTGAATTTTGCGCATTAAAAGTACCAAATTCGTTTTAGCGGAATAACTCTAAAACCAAAGGGATTAAAAAAATCCGTAGTGACAGTTGTCGATCATGCATAAATATAATTAATTATCTACTTTTTGTCCTAATAACCTGTAGCATTTCGAGGATCAATTGAAAAAATGTGAAAATTAGAGGTCATTTCGTGATTTTTATCTAACAGTTTCTAAAATTTATTTAATTCCTCAGGCTGCAAGACTTCAGATGCGTGTGGTGTCGCAAATGCGTACACGCCGCATGCAAACCAGGCTGGCGCGCTTCATGTCAACTCGGCCCTGCGCGTGCTTCTATCGTGCCCCCGACCCGATTGCACTCCGTGGGTCCCGACGACGCCTGGGTTCCAGATAGACCTCCTAATGCTTCTCCGCTTATTGTGTTCGTTAATTCTAGATCAGGTAAACATCTATGCTAACTACCTCTGCGTTATACGTTTGAAACCCTATCGGTAAAAATGCAAGTAGTATAAACTGTAGGAACAAAATACAACAGCTAAAAAACCAACACGTTCGTAATTATTTTACATATTAACTATAAGTAAACATCGATAGCACAGAAAACCATACGGTGATAAGAAACTTCTAGGTGGTTATAAATGTTCATCCATAAAAACCATTGCAAATATTTTTAGGAACAACATAAAACAACCAAAAAACCCACTAGTGCGTAATTATTTCACTAATCAGCTATCACTAAATGTCGATAGCACAAAATAAAAACCTTACCGTGATGAGGAACCTCTAGGTAATTAGAAATGTTCATCAATAAAAACCATTGCAAGCAAGTGGCTAAAGAAACTCATTTCGCAACGTCGTCATCGTTGTATTCTGACAATGAAGTTTCTTTCTTTTTATATGAAGCCTATGTCTGTTGCATTTATATCTGTCTGTGGCATCGTAGCTCTTAAACGGCTGAACCGATCTTGACAGTGTTTTTTTTTTATTTGGACGGACAAATGTATGTATTATTGTCTACTACTCTAAACTTTTAAATCTATATATTAGGTAATAATTGCTCCCGAAGAGGAAAAAAAGGGAAAGAAAAGAATTAGTATCAAGTATTTTAGTATTCTCAGTAAACACTTTACTCCCAATACACTCGCATGTAATTCACCAACACTATCCATACTGTTAAAGACATAATGTAAGCCAACAACTGCCCAGTGTTCATAACTGCGAGAATTAAAAATACGTACCTGTACTACTTAAAAAAAAATTAAAATGGCGGTAACATTTAAACTAAAGCAGAGAATAAAAAGTAAAGAGAATGGACACTCTCCGCCCCTCCCTGGCTATAGATACCGCACCACGTCTCGCACATTGCCTGTCACATTGACGGAACGACAACAAGGTTGCCGCCGAACCGTTTTCACGCGAAGACGGCTTTGATATTTGAATATAGTTTTCATTTATTCATTACGAAACTTGTACGTTAATATAAAACATCATTTTACGTTACTATTTATAATCGTTGTGAATTGTGCTGTGTACAGCTGTTTATCATCATTTTCCGAAACGTGGAACGAAGTAGCTAAGTAAAAAAACTTATGTCTGAGACTCATTCAGTTATTGTTTTCTTCATTTATTTACTGCAGAGTAATATATGTATGTATAAAAAATACTGATTTATTATATCAATATAATGAGGCGTCATTACTTCGTGAGCTAGTAGACAAGGGTTCTCGAATTTTCTATTTATATTGCCGATAAATATTATGTAAGTAGCGAATATAACTAATTATTAACTAAGTTGTAAGGATGGGAGCTGGTGGCGATGAGTGAAACGAGTAAAGCCTGGTATAACACTGATTCATTGAGAATAATATGAGTATACATATAGTACGTATAGATCTACACTACACCTTCCTTGGAGAGAAAAAAAATAAAATAAACATGGTTGTCTTATTTTATTTCTACTCCGATATTTTCCTCTAAATTAAACGTATAAGCCTATAAGAATATTAAAATAGTAAAAATATAAACCTATTTTAAATTACATAGTTATCATAAGATTGTACATAGTAAAATATAGGAATTGGCTCATTATTACACAATGACTTACGAGTAAATGGTTACAATTACTAAATTTACAATTATTAAAACAATTATTAAAAATACTATAAAATTGATTTCAATTAAATTAAGGTATTACATATTATATATGTTACATATTATATGGTTTGGTGCGGTTCTTATGCACGATATCTTCTTTTCCGTTTCTCATTATCTTTACATTACTACCTAAATCTTGCAAGATTAAAAATGGACCTAAAGAAACACTATCTAATTTACCTCCAGTTTTGTTTTTTAGTAACAGATACTTACCTTTCGTATACTGAACTGGATTTATTTTACAGTCGTAGGCTAGTTTTCTCTTCACCTTGCTCCCTATTAAGTTACTTCTATCATCGTTTTGTGCTACCTGGAGTCTGTATTTGAACTCGACATACATGTCGAGTTCAAATACAGACTCGACGGGTAGCTGTCGTAGTTATACATAGGGTCTATTACGCCACCTGTGAAATTATTTGGTAATATGCATGACTTACCAAATACCAGCTCATGTGTTGTGTATTTTGTTTCGCCGTGAACCGTATTATTGTGCGCAAACACCAGTAAGGAAGCCAGCTGCTCCACGATGATGGTTGTTTTTCGCAATTAAGGCGCAAATACGCGCCCATTGTCTTATGCGTATTTTCTAGGGGTCCCATCGACTCGTGGTGATACGCAGTCGATGTGAGTTGGCTAATTTTCAGTTCGCATACCTGCTTCATAGTACTTGAGATAAATTATGTGCCACGATCTGTTGCTATTTCCCGCGGTATCCCGAATCGTAGTACAAAGTTTTCCACGAATGTCCTAGATACGGTGACTGCATCTTTTGACTGTATTGAGTTTACTTCTACAAACTTAGACAGTTCGCACTGTAAAGTGAGAATGTAAACATGACCGCTTGCGTCCTTAGTTAGTGGACCCACTTTATCTAGGTATACTTTTTCGAACGCATAATTTGATATCGTAGTTATTTCTAAAGGCTGTTTAATTTTTACACAATATTTCTCTTTCTGACATTGCTCACAGTTTGACACAAATTCCCTCACATCCTTCTCAATATTCTGCCAACAATAATACTTTTTGATATTGTTTGACATTCGCCTGATGCCCGTGTTAGCGGAGAATTTTCTTTACTAAATTCTAAGCTTCAAATGTTATATATCTAATATTTAATTCCTGTTCAAAAACATCTAATTATTAAATAAAAGGGGGTATACTTTAAATAAATTTACTTTATCTACTTTATCGATTCCTAAACCTAAACTACGTGAAGCTAATTGCGATATAAAAATATAATTTATCTACTGATTGTAGGAATGTTGTAAATACAAACAAACAAAGCACAGGTCAAATCGTATTTATTGGACATATAAGCCCAGAAAGTCAATATCTATTAGTTTTAACGGTCTAAAACAAGTATAATATTCACATTAGAATAGGTACAGAAGTAAGGCATAGCAATAATTTATTACACATTTGTAAGGAAATTGCAGGGTACTAAACCCTGAATTTCGATGGAACAATGTATACACAAATTCACAAAGAAATACAATGACAATAAAAGTGAAATAGTGATTACTTAACTTACTTACTGCTCAGCAACCGGACCCAACAATAGTTTTTTGAAATACCATGAGCAAGCCCTTTTATACAGTACAAATACCACTCCTGTGGTTGGTTTATCCAATCAGGAAACGAGAATGCTTTGCAGTGTGGCGCCACTGGTGGCGCCATTGGTTTTATATCATAATTTTATTTCCATTAAAAACAGTAATGATAGGATTCCGTATATATATATCTATATAAATATCAGGACATTTAAGTAACATTTTTAAACAACATGACTTAAGCCAAACTTATGAAATGTGTATAAAAGAATGAAAACAATGATAAAATATTTATCAATAAGTTGAAATGCATTCACATGACAAGTCGTTTTTGTACTTTAATTATGAAAATTACATTTTAGACACGCTTAATATTCCTATAAATAAAGTTTATTATAATGAATATTATTTTTAGTCATTACAATTTGATAATTTACGTATAAATTTAATATTTGTCTCACACCCGCGTGGCCACTTGTGGGCAAAAGCTGAAAGTTATTCAATATGACGCGCCTGTCGTCTGCATTATCTATTCTCTGTACGCCCTTTAGTATACATATGCGTAGATCTGACCAATCTGTACTTGCCTTTATTTCACTTATGAGTCCGGTTAAAACCTCTTCATTATTTTTATTCTTTATTATGCATATCTCTTTTATGCTTAATTGCTTACATAGATTAGCTAAATCCCTCGCCAGTACGTCTCGCGTTACTGGGTGATCGAGAAAAACTATTTAAATAAATGCAGTTTTAGCTTTTTTACGTAAGTAAAATATTTTGAACAATTCGTCACTAGGTCTTTTCTCTTTAACTCATTAATTTTTCTATTATCAACTAACCTCAATTCAGTTAAATTTCTCGGTTGCTTAATTATCTCCACAACTCTCGGTTGTACGGGCCTCGAGTTTAGGGGATGACTAATTTCCGGTGAATTTAACTTTTTATTATTTTCTACATTATCTGCCATTCTTCTCGCTTGCGCTGTGGTCACACAACATTCAAAACATTTTAATTCAATTGTTTTAATTCTTTGGATGTGATACTAATTCTAGACAACGTGTCAGCGGCGGCATTCTTCGATCCTTTTATGTATTCAATTGTGAAGCTGTACTCATCTAGTTGCAACCTGAACTTTAGTAACTTACTGGAAGGGTCACGCATGCTAAATAAATATACTAAAGGTCGATGATCCGTTTGAATTTTAAATTTTCGTCCGTAAATATATATATATACATATATATATATATAATAATAATAAATAAGGTCGAAAATGTTTGACGCTCCACACTATTGCCAAAAGCTCCTTTTCTATAGTGGGGTAATTCTTTTCGGCCTTATTTAAACCTGTACTTGCGTACGCTACTGGCCTGCCATCACTGTTACATAGTACAGCCTCTATTGCGTTACGCGATGCATCCGTCTGTAGTAAAAATTCGTTTTCCTCTGTAAAATTATGGTACTGTACGACTGGTGGACTTATAAGCGCGGTTTTTAATGATTGGAATGAATGCTCACATTCATCTGTCCATTGGAACGGTACATTTTTGGAACATAATTTATTTAGAGGACAAGCTCTCTCTGCAAAATTCTTTATAAATTTTCTATAATAATTAGCGAAGGCTACGAAGCGCTTCACGTCGTCTGTACTTTGTGACCTTGGGAATTCTTCAAGTACTTTAGATTTTTCCGGATCTGGTAGTATGCCTGCTTCGGATACTAAGTGGCCTAAATAAAGAATTTCTTTTTGAAGCAATTGACATTTGGAGGGATTTAATTTTAAGTTAGTCTTTCTTAACCCAGCTAAAACATTTAGTAAGTGTTTATTATGTTCGGCCAAATTTCTACCATAAATTACCAAATCGGCTGGGTAAACAAGGCATTGCTCGTAGTTTAAACCTGACATAGCCACCGTTATCATTCGGGAAAAAGCACTGGGGCTAATCTTTAGTCTTTAACCCCATAGGTAGTCTGGTCATCTGACACTAATTTTTGCTTGTAGCAAACGCTGTGTATTGTCTGCTATTTTCATGCAGGTTTATCTGATAAAAACCCTGGTACAAGTCCAGGTGCGAAAAATAGACGGCGCCCGATAGCGAGTCCAGTATGTCTGTTATATTTGGCAGAGGGAACTTGTCATCCTGAATTTGGTTATTTAATTTCCTATAATCTATGACCACGCGCCATTTCTTCACGCCGCTATCTACTTTTTTAGGTACTAGTAACAGTGGACTAGACCACGCACTTCTACATTCTTCTATTATGCCGTCATCTAGCATACCTTGAATTTGTCTATCGATCTCGACCTTTTGTGAGTGGGGTAAAATATATGATTTTACATAAACTGGGGTACTATTAGGTTTTAATTCGATTGCCTGGTGATATAGTGATGTTGTTGACAACTTATCCCCGGGTAGATGGAAAACATCAGGAAATTTGGCGCAAATATTTTCTATGGACTTTGGTTCCTCATTTAAATAATCTAGTTTTAGCTGAGAGAGTAATTATTTAACTCTATCCGAGTTTACTTCAGTTTGAGTATATGACATATAAAATACTCATTTAATTTTGTTGTATGCAAATTGAAATAATTTAATTTAACGACTTCATTTCTAGTATTTAATAGTTTTAATGGTATTAATCCATTTACGGGACGAATTATTGTGTTCGCTAGATAAACCCCGTCACATAATTCCTGACTACTTATGACGTAGTCCCCTTTTAAATTGGTTTTAACATAATGTATTCATTCGCAGCGTGCTGGTACAGTAAGATATGTTTCCCTATTTTGTTTCGAATGTTCAATTCTCAACACAACACTTTTTTCCGTGTTTGTCTGTAATTTCATAGTATTTAATTGGAAATCTAACGTGGCTCTATGCTTTTAAAAAAATCTTGGCCCATAATTCCTTCAGTTTTACATGGTAACTTTTTGAAAATGTAGAATTTATGTTTGAAAACATCAGTGCCGTGATTCAGTTTTAGATAAACATAGCCTTCCGAAGTTACAGTTCCACCAACTCCATTGATACATAGTCGCTCTTTATGAAATGGTATTCGTCAACTATGTATTTGATCATACTTGACGACAGAGAGCGATGCCCCGGTGTCGGTTAACCACTTACATTCATATTTATTTAAAATGAATGACACTTTGTTTAAAGAATTACACGCGCAGATACAAATAGGCTCGAAAAAAATAATTGAGCGGCTCTGTGTCCGTTTTTGGTGGCTCTGTATTGTCGGGCTCTTGGGTCACGAAATGCATACTTTCATTTGAAGAAATGCGGCAATTTCCACTGTATCGACCTCGAGATGCGTTTCCGTTATAGAAATTCCTACTCTTCCTCTGGTACTTACCCTGCGGAGGTCTGTAAGATCGTGACGGTCTAGATTTAGCATAACTTTGACCTCGCTGACCTTGTGTGCTCCCCATGTGACCTCGTGTAAGGTCTTTTATTAAAATTATTTTTATATGGTGATTTTGGTTGGTACGTACCCATAATCTCTGCTACTCCCGAAGAGGTACTTGCGGCTGTTGAAATCTCTTCGTCTTGGGCGGTCTGTATAGCATCCTTTAGCGTGCTCAAATTACGAGCTGTTATAATGGTACCGACCCTTCCATTTCGCAACCCGTCGGCAAATCTTCTAATTGCATTTTTCTCATTTATTGGGCGTAGAACGTCATAATTTTTCGAGTTTCCCTCGTATTGCGAGATCGTAAGGTCCACAAACAATTCCGTTATTTCTTTACCGAAGTCGTCAATCGACTTTTCGTATTGTCTAGCCTGTTGCAATTTTGTTTGTAAGGCAGTTGCCGATTTTTGTGGCAATAGCTACCTTTTCATGTCCCTAAGAAGTTCGTCTATTGACTGGTAAGCGGATGAAAATCTCAATCTTGCCGACTGCAATAGTCTGGTTTTCAAGACAAATTGTGTCTCACTATCCTTGTCTAAAATAGAAGTGTAATATTATGTGGCAGATATTAGGTCTTTAGTGTTTTGTTCCGCATCCGTCGTTGCGGTTAAAAGGTTTAAAGCGAGCTTTAAATCGAATTTCGCCATATTTATTTTTTCTACTTCTTCACTACTTTCTTCACTTATGGTTCCTTCACGAGTTTGTAACAAGGTGTGAATGTTATGGTTTATAGCCTTAAAATCATTACTGTACCTTTGTATTAATTTTTTCTCATTCTCGTCTTTGAATTGTAGCACTTTATTAATCCTATCTATATATGTATCATATTGCGTTACTATTTCCTCAACTTTTTGTATATACTGCTGAACTCTTTCTCCTTTCCTATTCCTACAAATATTGCCGAACTGCTACCAAATCATTGCATAGTTTCTCTATACGTAGGGCACTGCGTTATTATTCTAAGGGGCACTCAATAAGTTTTGAGATGCTCGAAATTTAAAAATGGAACGCACCCGTATTTAATCTTTTTAAAAAGCAAATTTATTTAAAAATTGATCACCAAAAACAATTTAGCTAAATTTAAAAAGAAAATGACATTGTTAGTCATTTTACTACAACGCTTCCCGCGCTTTTTCTTTACAATAATGGATCTTAACCGTGAACATTTGCGTGCTATGATCTTCTATGATTTTAAATGTGGTTTAACTGAACCATTGAGTTTGGAACGTTTGCAGTCAGCATTAGAGGACTCTGCTCCTTCTCGTGCAACAGTTTTTAGGTGGTTTAAGGAATTTAAAAGAGGCAAAAGTAACCTTGAAGATGACCTTTTTTTTTTTACGGGAGGGAAATCTTTATGGATACCCCTGAGCCCAGGGAGACTCAGGGGTTATGTGGGGACTCCCTCCAGACTGGAGGGCCTACCCCACTAAAACCCCCCCGGATTTCCCTCTCGCCGGTTGAGTCGGCGCCGTGGGATCAGTGAACATTCACCACGACGCCGCCCGGCCGCCCTAGCTTACGCCAGGGCTCCCGCGCCAACGGAGGGGCGAGTCGGTTGTCCTCCGACCCGCCCCCCAGACGAGTGAGGCCGTGCAATGCAGGCTCCGGAGTCCCTGTCCAGAGCCCGCTGGTCTCACTAGGGGATCATTGTTCCGACAATTATAACAATTAGAATAAACGCCAGCATGTACCAAGAAATCATCCCGATGTGTGTTTCTACCTGGGTGCTGGTTACTGTGTTGTGGTAACCGATTTGGGATGTAATTTGTGAAATTTGTGGCTCCGGTTTAGAAGCTTGGGAGTAAAAATTAAAAATTTTAACTGATGCACACAATGTCAGTAAACGCGTATTTCATTCACTTATTGTCCGATATCATTTTTATTTAATTTGTAATATAAGTCGCGGCGCGAGCGGCAGAGCCCAAATAGGGCAGGGTCGCCATGTAAGGATGGGAGCTGGTGGCAATGAGTGAAACGAGCGAAGGCTGGTATAACACTGATTTATTGAGAATAATATGAGTATACATATAGTACGCATAGATCTACACTATAAAGTAATGATGATCAACTTGGACACACCATTTCAAATACCTTTGTTACCTTATTTATAAGTACATGTCCAAAATACAACATTTTAATTGCTTTTAATATATTTTTTGATATAAATACATCATAGACATGTGTAATTATTAGGATTCTGTATTCTATTAATAGAATCATAGATAATAGATTCGCGTTAGCATTTTCGCTATGTTGCCGCTCTGATCACGTAACGTAATAATCCAAGAAAGTGATGGGTAACCCTGCCACATCACACACATTTGCGCGTGTGCAGATAGCGCCTTGCTGTATGTAGTAGTAGTAGGTAAATAATTTTCGACCATTGTATGGAGTGTCCGGAGTGTGACAAAAGTGTACTTACGTGTTTGTTTGATGAACATCAGCTATGCAGCTGTTTTTAGATCATCAGCTTTTTTCCCAGTTAGTAGAGATCACAATCATAAAATGGGTATTTATTTTACTTCCACCTGTCCGTACAATTTGCTATATCTAAGTAAATTCGTTGACATTATAGTAATATGGTAATATTAAGAGAGTCAAGACAGTCTGCATGGCAGAATAATTGTGCCAAAGCAACGGAAATTGGTTTTTACGAGGAAGTTGACTTATAGATGGCAACTTTTGGGGTACACTGTTTGTTATCTGGGGTTCTTTTTATTAATTTTATTTGCGTAGATTCATTCATTCATGATTTCATTAACTTTATACTTCTTAATATGCTAATTTATTTGGTCTCATACTCTCTTTGTGTTGTGTACTGCCAAAATAACAAAACCAAATTTATATTCACTACTTTCACAGAAGTACTTACGTGTACTTATAAAGTTTTCCTTCAACGAGCATAAAAAAACTGATCACTAAAAATATTACTCCAACGATACTTATATACACGACGAATCTATCCCAGGTGACAATCAAGGCGTAAAGTTCCTGCGAAGATTCAAGCAGCTACTGAATCCAGCGCAAGTGTTCGAGCTGAGTGGGGCTGGACCGAGGCTGGGGCTGCGGTTGTTCAGGCATTTTGCGCCGCTGCGGGTGCTCGTCTGCTCGGGAGATGGATCTGTTGGTTGGGTCCTGCAGGAGGTCGATAAGCTTGATATGCACGTTAGTACATTAACGCAATATAATTCGCCAACAGTCATTATTTTTGCGTTGGTCAAGTTTTACGGCCATCGAGTATATAACCAGAAATAGAGACGAAATGTCATTTCATTTGTTTGAAAACTATTCTGCCATATCATTACTTGGCTAGCCCGACTTCGAAACAAGTGACGGGTGTCGTCAATAGGTGTCGTCAACTGTTTCGCTTCAAATCGACCAGTTAACTTGATTTTTTGCTATAATGGTCGAAAATTGCAAAATAACATATTTAATATTTAATTACTGATGAAATGTGATTCCATTTGTTTTGAAATTAGATATTTTGATGTTTTTCCCACACCACCGAATAGAACTGCACGGCATTGTTAAAGATATTGTCTTTATTACAATAAATACAGAATATTTTTTGGAATCAGTCAGTCAGTCAGTCAGTAGTTGGCCTGTCTATATTTCGGTGCAAACGAGAGTCGATATTTATGAGAGCTGTATCGCTAATGTGTTACCAGAAATATATGGCCCTTATTTCATCTCTATTTCTGGCTATATACTTGATGTTTACGGCGCTTATTCATAACACTTTTAAAAATTATCATTCGATTTTTGAAATATTATAAAAAATAATTTTAATGCAGTTATAAGACAGTTTAGTCACGACATCTGGCGGATCATGTCTGTACTACTTACAGTACAGCGTGCCGTATCGTATTGACATTAGTCTAGGGCCTCCATAGGTCGATTCCATCGATTGTCACGATAAATGTATCCATTCTTCCTTCACGAAATAAATAAAATAGTGTACGTTTATGTCGTAAACGTACACTATTTTATTTATTTTTTATTCATGGCACTATAACAGACATTACACTCAAACAGTGTAGAAAAAAGAACGCATAAAAATTAATACAGTACATTATATCTGTGCCCAATTATAACTGTGCTCAATGTTCAAAAGTAGATACGTTATTCACCTTACAACAATACCATACCTACCATATCATATCACCTTTTAAAGACAGGGACACCGCAGTGAAAGATATCACAATTAGCAGGCACATATATCGTTGTAATACCCACACATCCTGTGTAGAGGATTGTTTTATGATCCATTATTTTTGTAAGGTGTATACTGAATAATCGTTGATTACGTACAGTTCGAGTCGGAACTCTGAACAACATCTCTAATTAGACAGTTCATTAGCAATTGTATGCGTTGTGCGTAAATCATTCATCGATTCGTTGTTTCGATCAGTGTGAAACGACGAATCGTGAAGACAAATCGTCTCGTTTAAGGGGACCGTTACTGTCGTGGTCCATGCCACTTATGTTAGATGGCGCTATTTAATTGTTTGTTTTATTGTCTTACTTTTATGGTAAAATGGGCTGTACGTACCATGTCATTTCTCTTTTTTCTCTGGAATATGCCTGCCTGACAGCAAAGTGTTTAATTACAACTCTCGTCCAGACATACAGTAAACAATGAAGTTGCGAATAAGTGTAATTAAATCATACTTTCGTAAACTAGTCTGCAGTCTGCGAGCATGTCATGGATAAACCTACACATTCAATGAAGTTTGACAAACCCCAGGTCCTTGCAAAAGAAGTCCGTTATCTACCCAGGATGCTGCGAGAGGCCATTGAAATTAAAAAACATCCTAATTTCAACAGGGAAGATGGTTTCTCCGTACCACCAGTTTGGGATCCAGTATTTCCTCTAATGAAAAATCCCAAACAGACATAAGACTGCAGTACTAATTAATATGTTTTAGTTTATTCTAATTTCTATTAATAATTAATAATAAATTAAACCTAATAAAAATTCATTCAATAAAATAATTTGTAAAACTTAATGTAGCGTAAATTGGAATGTTTTCTTTGTAAAATTAAAAATAAGGTATTTAATTAATAACTATTATAACTATTATAACTATAGTGAAAAAATAGGGTGGTTTGCATTAATATTAGACATAACTGGTTGAAGACTGTACCACCTCAGTCAACCGTGACCATGGGACCTGTAAAGGGCCCGAAACGTCGGTTTGTTTGAAAAAACAAATATACGCGATTTAAATCCGGAAAAATAGTTTCATTTCCTATAAATCATAATTTCTTCTGCGATTTTCGAATTATCATTTTGAATTTACTTATTCCTAACTTTTCTTGAACCTTTTTTTCGAAGATCCTATTTTCAATTTTCTTTTCACTGTACAGCGTCAAGTCCAAACAGCTGTGCTACCACTGGGTACAGGCAATGACCTGGCTCGGGTACTGGGCTGGGGAGCCTCCTGTGACGATGCTGCAAACCTTCAGCTTCTGTTAGAGCGATATGAGCGGGCTTCCACCAAGATGCTTGACAGGTGAAGAGCACCTCTTGCTTTTATTTTTCGCTGATACTTCGGTTCAAAATATATTCATTTTATATGAAGAAGACTGCAGCGTAGAGTTAACTTAATATATTACCTAGTTGTTTTCTTGGTACAGGTGGTCCATCATGACATTCGAACGGTCTTTGTCAGCGCCGCCACCTCCACCCGCGCCGCCTGACATGCTTGAAGAAAATACATTGCTCAAACACCTACAAGATATTATGCAGGTCCTTATATTGTGTGCATAGAGCCTATTTTTTAACGAATATCCTTCATTTCCTCGAAGTAAATACTGTATGATGTTGAATTCTATCTTGTCAGGCCGGGGAAGTTAGCTCCGTAGCCCATGCGTCGCTTCGCGCAGGTTGTGCGCGACTTACTGCGGTGGGCGAGAAGGCCGGAGGCAGCGCTGCTAGGGCGGCCCATCGGTTACGCCGCGCTCTTTCATTGCTATTGCACGCCAGAGCTCACCTTGCACACGACCATGCTAGATGCAAGTGGGTTCATAATTTTAATGAATAAAAACACTTAATATTTGAGAAAAACAGTGGCAATATATAGTTGATTAGTAGAAGACCTATAAATAAAGACATGATTAATAGGTCTTGGGAGCCACTGGAGACAACGAGTGATAGCGAACCCGAAGCACAACCTGTTGCTGAGAAAGGCAGTATTGAAAAGACTGAAAAGGTGAGTTCATAAGTAATAACGCATAAACTCTAAGAAATCTCAGTGACTGCGGTACAGTAGACGCGGTTCGCCTCAACGGGCGTTATGTCAGCATGAAGACACGTGACAATTTGCAGGAGCAGCTGAACTGGGCAGCGCGCAGCTGCGCGCTAGCCGGTCGCGCAGACAGCGTGCGCAAGGCACTGTCCTCGCTCATCCGCACACTCACCACCATCTACCCGCAGGTACATCAACCACTAGCATACTTATTAATCAACGGCGCTTAAAATCGATCCTGAGCAGCAAATACTTCTGCTTCAATACTTTCTTTATTAATAAGCAATTAAATATGTACTTGATATTCTCTTCAGTCGAGTTTGAAGTACTGGCTTGAGAGCTGTATTCAATATTACCAAAAATTAACACTAGATTACGTTGTGCGATTTTTTATAGCCAGAACCAGGGTCATGCGACACATGCACGACCAGCGGAGCAGAGGGTGGTGCGGAAGCGATAGAAGATACGGCTCCGAGCGCAGTGGAACTTGACGCTTTGCCCGTACCACGAGCATTTGCTGATAGCCGTCGATCGTCCGCCGCCAGTGCTGTATCCGCTACTCCTTTGCAACCTGATGAGTACGTATTTATGACAAAAAAGTTTATTGTGTTTTTGTCCGACATAATTAAGTTTAGCAAATATAAATATATTTTTCAGATTTTGGAATTGACCTTTTGAAGTCAGATGTAATGATTGTTAGAACATCCTGCTATATTTCTTTAACAATATTTTTGTTGTCTCTGTAAAGTAGGCATGTTGTAAACATTATACTATACTTAATTAAAAGTTAACTTTATGGCAAATACTTTTCTTTACAGCATTCCAGACATAGATGAAGACATAGTCAAATTAATAAGCTCGAATCCATCGGAACAAAATAATTTAGAAGTAGATTTGAAGATGGAACGTAAAGGCAGTTCCGCTTCGCCGCAGGACCGACTCTCGCTTTCCAATCTCTCTTCCTGTGATACCAGCTCTTGCCGAAACCTCTTCAGGCCTGATATGGAGCGCGGCACTAATAATAGTAGTAGTCTTACCATACCTAACCTAGTTGTTTCGGACGATAGCGATAAGCGAGATTCGATAATACAGGGAGATACTTATGAATCGGACCAATTGACTATAATAGACATCGACAAACCGTATACAGACGACGTTCACTTCGAATTAAGTGCACGAGTCTCGCCGGTTAGCGGAGAATGCACGCCCGAAAGGAAACTTTCTAGTGTAGATTTGGAGATAGACGCTACTAGTTCAGAAGGGTCCAACATTAGCGATGATTTTAGTTTAATTTCGGAAATTATTGACGTGAAGCCTGGAGACGGTGATGATGAAGGACGAATCACGCACATTGACTCGCCTGAAGTGTCTGAGGCAACATTCATGAATTCGGAAACTTTACATGGAGAATCTATCATGGATGACATTAGTTCAATGCTGGGACAAGACGCCCTATTGGCTATGATGGGCAAAAATGGAGAAAACGAAACTTATACTGATGACACCACATTGTTCACGTCCGACACAGTTTCAGACATAGCCATGGATAGTAGAAACCCTAGCCTTGAAAAAAATGCTGAAGCAAAATTTAAGTACATTTCAAAAGGAAAACACCCAAAGGATGAAGAAATCGAAAAATTTGGTTTTGAAAATAGAGTATTTTACATAGAAAATGCAAAGAAACCTGAAGAACAAATCAAATATTGTAGCCTAGCGCATTTTGAAGAAGGCAATGATATAGCCAGAAAATCATTTCGGAAACAACTACGAAAGAGTTTAAAAAATCGAGTAGGTGAGGACACGAGTATTAAACATTTGTTGCCAAAAACGGCTGAAGAACAATATAGAGGCGATTTCTCAAGACCTCCCAGTCGAGGGTCACCAAAGAATTTTCAAGAATCTCCAAAACGAATATTCCAAAAAGATGATGTAAACAATTCGGACAAACCTGAGGCTAGAGACACATCATTTCCTCAAGTGTGTGTTGTGGTACAACCACCTTCACCTTCACACAGTGAAGACAAAAAAAGCATAAAAACTTGTGCTAGCCGCATGGCTTCAGTACTTAGTGACCTTTTTGACCACGGAACAGATACACTGAGCATAAATTCACCAGAACCGAATCTTACTAGAGAGAGGAGACAATCAGATAATCCAAAACTGCTAGGATCTGATCCTGAATATGGAAAATTTCTAAGCTGTTCTCCTGCGGCAACTAGGAGAATATCATGTGGAAGTCTTTTCAAACCCGGTGAACCTGACAAGTATGTTCAAATATCATAAAATTTATGAAAAGTAATTACAATGAGTGCTAAAATTTATTTTAAACATTATATTTTTATGTACAACAAAATACAATTTTGCGAAAAATATAATATGATATAACATTGGAAGTGAATCCATTTTTTCTGATAAAAATCGCATATGTTTGTTTATTTTTTCTATCAAACCAACGATTTGACCTCTTTACACGCCCCATGGTCACGGCTGAGTCAGTAGCTGTTAGTTCATTTCCAATGATATAAACACCTACGCAAAATTCTAAACGTAAAATAAAATTGGATATTTCTTAGGTATAAGTTCTACAATTTCACTAAGTTTTATTTTCATGTTTCCAAACAGGCTTTCTACCTCAGTGTCATCTATTTGGGGTGATGGAGGTGCTATGGGCAAAATTGAGCAAAATAAATCGGATGCTAACGAAAAAGCTAGAAAGCTTCCCATTATCAATCCATTAGTTCAATTGCCAGCTTGGCCTCATGTAACACAGGGATTTATCAGCCAATGTCTTTTGGCCAATGCTGATGCGCTATGTGCTGCAGTAAGCCCTCTAATGGACCCTGATGATACATTACTTGAAGGATTTTACGAAAGAGCTGTGATGAATAATTATTTTGGGATTGGTATTGATGCAAAGATCACATTAGACTTTCATAACAAGAGGGAAGAACATCCTGAAAAATGCAGATCTCGAGCCAGAAATTATATGTGGTATGGAGTGCTTGGATCCAAGGAGTGGGTGAATAGAACGTATAGGTAAGACTAGAAACAACATGAACCAATACAAAAACGATATTATTAACAATTATATGAAATAATTGGAAAGATGGGATGAATGCATAATAATTTAGGTCTTGTAATTAGAAAAAAAGTGAACGTAAATATATTTTACAGGCACCTAGGTCAACGAGTTCAACTTGAATGTGATGGACAAAGAATACCATTACCGGAGTTACAAGGTATTGTTGTGTTAAACATACCATCATTTATGGGCGGCACAAATTTTTGGGGAGGAACTAGAGCTGATGACATCTTTCTCGCTCCATCTTTTGATGATAGGATATTGGAGGTACGATGCAACCATCAGTATTAAACTTTCGTTGTTATTCACATATCAAAGTCACTTAAAATTTATATTTCAACAGGTTGTAGCAGTGTTTGGTTCGGCCCAAATGGCAGCATCTCGGCTCATTAATTTGCAAAAACACCGCATTGCTCAATGTAGGGCAGTACAAATTAATATTCTTGGAGATGAGTGCGTTCCAGTTCAAGTGGACGGAGAAGCGTGGCTGCAACCACCAGGATGTGTGAGAATCATACACAAAAATAGAGCGCAGATGTTGTGCAGGTCGCGCGCTCTAGAAACTAGCTTACGGTAAGATTGTGTTAGGCTTTAGACAGGGTTAACAACGACTATCGAATATCTAACAACATAATTATTAAAAACTAATATAACCTACACATTTTCATGTGTTACATAAATATTAATCACAATAAGCAAGTTCATTGTTAACAACACCTGTTGTCATTACCATTTTATTCATAGTAAGGTGTTTCTCAGGGGTCAGTACTAGGTCCAGCTCAATTCTATGTATCTCAAACCGTAATAATATATTAATACACGTTACTTTGCACAGAGCTTGGGATGAGAAGCAGCAGATGAAGGCACATGCACTAACGGGGTCGACGCCAGTGACTCAATGCGCCCGCACACAACTGTCGATGCTCGAAAACGCACAATTGCTTGCTTTGCTGGATGATGTTAATTCGGTGGTTAAACATGTCAGTATTTACTGTCTGTATTTTCTTTATAGTAGCGGGAATTATAAAGAAATTGAATGTTAATTTTAAAACAAATTTAATTCATGAAAGTATTCTAACATAGTATTTGTTTAGGAATTGTGTATGACCTCATTTTAAACGTTTTTTAAACCTTATAAATAGAGCTAGCCGGTAATGAGTAGTAGTACCTACTCGAGTAAATTGGAATTTTATCAACGCCACAGTTATTCGTTCCAGTAAATGGTACCTCTGTATTTTCTGAACCCTTAGCGAGTTTCTTCACTCTACTACTGTATTTAGTGTCGTGAAATAAATTTCTTGTCTTCAGGTAAAGTTATCATGTATAAGCGAGAGCGGTGTGTCGAGCGGGGTATCAAGCGCCGTGGCGACTGCCAGGCGTGTTTCAGCTCAAGCGGATGCTCTGCAAGATGCCGATGGCAAACTGGTGCCTGCTCCGCAGCTGAGGCGACTGTTGGCTACTTTGGTACGTTTTGATACATTTATATACTTATTGTTACGGTTGGGTTGGAGACAGTAAATCGTGCAATAAGCTCCCCGTACATGAACCGGGCGATTCGATGTCTGCTTCTCCAGGATTTATGCCGCTCTCGTATAGTTTCATCATTGTCATCAACATCATTTCAGCCAACAGACGTGCCCTGCCGAACACAGACCCAGCGTCGCCTCGCTTTTCGGCCCCATTGGGCACAGGCGCGCCTGTCGCTAAGAATCCCCGTCGCTTTCAGGTGGAGAGCTGCCAAGAGCTGCTGGAGAGCGGCGCCATCGCCGGCGCGGGCGCCGCGACGTCGAGCTCGCTGCGCGCGCACCTCGCTCGCGTCGACGTGCGCGACGGCCACGCCTTCCTGCACGCCGATGAGGTACGGGCGACGGAATCGCTTCTTTTAATAATCAAGTAAATAGCAATAAAGCAAGCGACCATAACCTGCCTACTGGCGAATGTGAAACATCTGTTATGTTAGTTCGTTCATTGATCTGTATTCGGTTTAAGAATAATGCGATCTACCGCTTTGTTGTACAGTCGATTAATCTGAATGTTTCATATTTCTAACCAACCTAATAGATGGTTCATATTTCTTTCAATTACAGCTCACGAGTTACATATTGTAGAAATGAAAAGAAAAAGAATTTAAATTTTCAGAATTTTGCACATTTTTTTATATTATTTTGATATGATAATTTATCCACTACTAACCATGCGTTGTTGTTATCGTTTTCCCACCTGCACCTGTAGAATCTTCTTCGTCGATCGCGTAGAGCCTATCGTAGACTTTCATTAGACGGCATTAAGCTTTATTTTTAAGTATTATAGATACTTTTGTTTCCCTTCTACACATTTCTTCAATTTTATTGTAATGAAAGAAAGTTGTAATGCAGACTTGTAGCTGTAGCATATAGCTGCCCCAAATTGATCTAAATGTTTTCTATGCCAAAAATTTGTAACGTATCTTCACCTGATAGTAATAAAATTTCTACCATTATGGTAATTAGTAGACCTCCTACAGTAGAAAGACCAAAATCTATCCCTCAATCCCGTAGATTCCCAAGAAAGGCGGTGCCGGGCGCTGGCTGCGCAGTCGACGAAGCGTCTCAGAAGGTCCCGGATCGACGTTCACCGCCGCGCAAGTCCGAAATTGGGGACTAAAGGAAATCCAAACATGGCTCGAGTCTCTACAACTAGGCGAATACGCCGATGCCTTTATAAGCCATGACGTAACAGGTCGGGAGCTGCTGTCTCTAGCTAGACGCGACTTGAGAGATTTAGGAGTAACAAAGGTGGGGCATGTGAAGAGGATCTTGCAAGCTGTGAAGGAATTGCAATGACGCCGGCGAGGCCGCTCCGAAGGGGATGGCCACTGTTAGACGTCAAGGCAATCGCAAAATGGTTCGGTTGAAAGGAAGAACACTTTAGTATTTGGTTCGAGGATATTGGTCTAACCGATAGACTCTCCTTAAATCCAGGTAGCGTAGCATAAATTGTTCGCGGCAAAAGTCGAAGGAGAAAAAACGGTGACATGGCAGCGCTCCCGCCAAGTCTCTCAAAAACGTTTTTCTCCAATCAACGTCACGTGATGACTAGACTGAAAATTGGAAACTGAAACATGTCGTTAGTTTCAAATATAAAGCCTCGTGAAATAAAGCAATTGTTGATGTTAGGTATGTACATATGTTAAGGGCTTTGTACGTTGAAACTAAGGCAAGTATGTTTGATGCAAGTAATAATTAAATACTAAAGCGTTTACTCCGTAGTGGTTATGGTATCTATAGTTATAATAATCTTTCCAATGTGATTTATGGGGCTCTGTGAGTGCCATTCCTATGTGTTTTTTTAGAATGTCGTGATTGTCATTTTAATTCGGTGTAAAAAGGGCCAAGTTCCCTTGGGGGGTTATAAAGAAGTTTAAAAGGAAGAAACATTAGATTAACTTATTCATTACCTAATGGATTTGATATATTATAATAAGTGTTAAAACGTTCAAAACGTGACGGTTTCTTAGAAACTTGAGAAGGGAACTCTCGGACAACTTTTTTACGCCTTTAAGTATCACTTGATACTAAATTCTATTGATCTCTTTAACGTTAGTGTTTTGATTGACCATGGGCAGAGAGAGGTAGTTATAAGAGATAATAAAAACGTGGATAAACGTAAGTTTACGTGAACGTTGCTCTGTAGGTTGTAATTAACCAAACTAAATAATATACCAAGTCTACAGTTTCCTTGTTAATTTAGTTTAATGTGTACATCGAAATGTTTACCTCTTCTGAACTCTTTTTCTTTACACTTTACAACATAAGGTTAAAACAAGCAAAGCACACAGGCAGGTTGCTAAAACAAGTTCTGAATAAATTCCAGACATCGCCCGTCATTGTGCGTATATTCAAACGACACATGGATACTATAAAAATGTTGGACAATTAAAAAAAGTCCATTTTCCAGATTTGCATCCAAATTTAATCTCGGTTAACTACACAGCTTAACTTACACTACTCAAAATTGGCAAAAAAACACTTGTTACAGTTTTTGGGATCAGATAGCCGAATTTACTAACCGTATATCTGTCACGTAATGTATTTTTATTATATTAGAACAACAGTACTTACTTATGAAATATGTGTAATTCCTTATCATAATGTTGGAAATAACCAAATAAATTAACGAAATAATCCTATGAGAATGGTGTAAATATTCAATTACGTACTATAAAAAAATAATTGAAAATTATAAAGAAACTTCTAAAACAATCTCAGAAATTGAGCGCTGCCAAACATGCCTTCCAAATTAACCTTAAAATTATAAAGTTTTTAGTTACCGTAGTTTTACAACTTGTTTTTGAACAACGAAACTTTGACACTTTTGTTTTGGCACGTAGTAGCACAAAGACAAGGGTTTTGGGTTTTTATTCACCTACACTTACTTATAATCACTTACGTATACACAACGGTAACAGTTGAAGATAAGTATAACTGAAAAATGATATCACCAAAAATAAGATACCCTCTAATTCCCTTTACAAGTAAATGAAGACAGAGGTGAATTTGGTACCGCATTTTGGTGAATCTATACTTGAAGTTGTAACATAAATACATCTTATTTTTAGATCATAATTTTCTGTACAAAAAAATCAGATTGAAGGACTGTTGTAATTAAAACTGTAGACATAGAAAAAAAACGAGTAATCTATAAAATATTACCTAGCTTTAGTTTTCTCATAGATACGCATAATCAAACTCATTTGTAATGGCACAATAGAAAATAATATTAAAATCCAAATGCACTGTTGTAAATAATAAAAAAAATCTATGCTTTATTATTAGATTAAAATATTTAAAGTGCACAAGTTATTATTTTCTGCAAAACCAACGTTGCGAGAAAACAGAAAACATCATCGTCTATTTATCTTTTTATTTTATTTATTTTATTCATCTTATGTTTCGTAACAGGAGTTCTAAAAATCCAGGTTAACAATTCCAATGGTTACTACTAACAGTAGATAAATAGTAAACAATTAACGGCCGTGGATTAAATAGGGTAAATACAATCTGAATCTTCATATTTATGAACTCTTTGGAATAGAGTTCAAGGGACAGTTATTAAGATTATTTCTACCTGATTAAGACTATTTACTTTTTTTGTGATACAATGCAAGATTAAGTATAGCTTATGAATTTATTATTTACTTGTTTTCCTTTTAATAAAATCGTAGAGAAAATAGACTAAGTTTCATAAACAATGTACGGACAACGGTACATCAGACTACACATTTTTGTTCGTAAATCGCCTCCAATGCAACGGAACAAGATACGTCAATGTGTAGCTTGATGTGCTGGCGTGTGTACAACTTGGCGCAACCACTGCCGCAATCCCAAAGATACCATTCATTTGATTACAAAATATAGGCGTTATTTTACCCAAAATATGATATTATATTATAATGTAAACAGGGATAAATGAAACAATGAAAAAGAAAATGTAAAACATTTCCTTAAAACTTTTCCAATTTCGAGGCTTTCGGTTTTCTCGCAATTCTATTTTATAAAAACCTATATATCTTAGATTGGAAAATGTTTGATTAGTTTGAAAGTATTTTTATTTAATTTTATAAGTATCTTTTACTTCCAGATATCTATTTAACTCAAGGAACGAAATTAAACATAAAACGACACCTCTGAGAAAAAAAATAATACGACAAAATTTTTTTTAAAGTTATCTTAATAAACAACATATGAGGCAAACTACCTCCGTGACCGAACGGTTACCGTGCCGGACTGCCACGCTGAGGTCCTAGGTTTGATTCCCGGGCCGGGAGAAATATTTGTATGGCCTACATTTATTTCTCTCGTGAGTTTGTGTGTAATTTCTGGTTGTCTATATGTGTGTGTCCATGGCACCCGCGACACAGGGTCTCCCTAGTGCGGGGCTATGTTGAGTGTGTGCGTTACTGATTTTGTGACTGATTTTAAAAGACAAATTATATGAAATCAGAATCACAGGATTGCTTATCGAATAACCATTGTGAACCTTTTTGTCTGATTAAGACAGTACCCCTCGTACGGGAAGAGCCACGTTATACGTTGAAAGCTGAGTGCTACCGTATTACAAGCCACCTTTCTTATAGGACTCAGTTCTAAATTTGAAATACTTACAAACTGTTCGAACATTCTATAATCGAATTTTTAAATATATATAATAAAGTGACGTTTAATGAGTTGCTACATTAAGGTGAAATAAAAATAGTAGATCATAATTTACAGGTATAAAAAAAAACAAGAGATTGCTAAAAGAAAATTGATGAGTTCATTGAGAACTAAACGAAAGACATCACTAAACATTAAAAATGGCAACATTAATTTTCAAAACGGCATTAGTAACTGTCAGTTTGTTATATCTAATTAAAAATCCGACTAAATATATTATGCTTATTAATTCAATCAGAATCTTACGGTAAACAATTTATGGGACGTTTAAAAAAATAGAGATGCTTCAATTAAAGGCTAACATTTTTTTTATCGGACAGACGATTGAGATTGATTTGGATTTTAGACCTTGTACCGACAATATAAACATTGTTATGAAACAAAGAATATTTTAAGGAAAAGTCACACCGATTCTGCGACTAATTTTTTTTTAACAGTGACATGTACGTTCCTATGACTTTGTTTTCTAAGTAATATACATTTGTGATAGTAGCAATTTCTCTAGATCTCAGTGGAAGAAAACATCGTGAACCTTGCAAGTCGGAGAAGTTCACAGCTTTACGAAAAAGTCCCTAACATGCGTTGCGTAGTCGGCTACAGCCTCAAGCTCAACCCTGAGACGTATTAATTGATGATGTCTGATATTTTTTAAATCTTCTGTTTATACAAGGCTTGCCTTAGCCATAATGCCAGCCTCATATTTGATGATAATAATGATGAAATATATTTAAAGTAAGTAAAAACAAAGTGAAAGTTTATTAACTTGTATATGAATTAAAATATCTATTGATAAAATTAAAAATTCGTACGTAATCAACGTTACGAGTGTGATATGTTGCAAGAAATTATCCAAATGTCGATTCTAACATCACTATTTCATGGTCTAAAACTCAATTACCAATCATCGGATTCTGAGCTATTAACACGCAATTACTGTCCTTCACCGTAATCACCTTTGTTTGTCTGTACTCACCTGTGTTTCACCGTACTCATCTCTAGATGAACAAATTACAATAACCAGTAGTATATAAGGTGTAAAATAAAAGCACAATAGACAAAAAAGTGAAATGTTAGTAGAGAATAGCCGTTAATAGACGATTTAACGAGTTGTCGTCGTGATTACATTGTGATGTCACTTACAAAATTTATAATTTTTTTTTATATATATTTTTGTATATTATTCACACGATGATGAAAATTAATTTAACATGATCCCACTTCGATTGTAATAAAAGTGAGTGAATATTATTAAAGACCATTTTAAAATGGCGCGTCAAATTTAGCAGTTAGTATGTTTTCATACATGAACTCCTTCACACACATTTATTTATAATACCAAGTGACGAGACGAACCGTGTGCCTGGTGTTGAGCGACACGCCTGTCCACATTTGTTACAGTACCACTTGAAAGTTTTAAAAGATGTGATACTGCCATTGCGCCTGTCACACTGGGACACAAGTTTCACCAGCGCATGATCCGTCGTCCCGCGCACTCTACTGCGTGGTGCTGCTTTGCGTCAGAGCTCTACTACTACTACATTTGAACACATTTGTCTGTAATTCATAGTGGTAGCTAATGTTTAGAGGTTCACGCACAAATATTAGAGTCAAACAAGTTTCTCATTAATTGTTTCCATGAACAACAGACTTTTGGTCTGAATAAGAGCTGGGCAAAGGCCCAAAGAGTGAAAGAATTCTAGAAAACCAAAGTTAGTAAGTGACATCGCGTGTAATCAGTTCATAAAGTTAACGAAATTTAATTTATAAGTCAAATCTCTTAGCCTTCCATCTATCATTTCTGAATTTCAGTCTAACTGCAATATTATTCGCTAGTTAATATAAATTAACTTTTTGACTATTTCTAACTCTTGATTAGACCGTTTGAATGGAGTGATATTAATCTATAGAACTAAGAATAATATACTTAATCGAAATTCTAAATTAACGAAGCAATTGAGGGCTATCATTGTTTAATTAGAAGGTAAGGTACTGTAACATAAACTTCACTTGTTACAATTGACAAATAATGAACCAACGCTGCCACGTTGCA